ACATCAAGTCTTTTCAAGTGTGTATCCACGTCTTTAGACATGACGATTACGTCATCTAAGTACACCATAAGTGCATTACCTATGAGACCTCTAAAGATATTAGTCATGAGCCTTGAGAACGTGATAGGGGAAGATCGTAATCCAAACGCCATACGGAGGAAGTGATAATGACCTGTAGGAGTGGAGAATGCAGTTAGCTCTTGGCTGTCCTCGTGAAGAGGGACTTGCCAAAACCCTTGTAACAAATCCAGGGTTGAAAAGACTTTGTTATCTCCGATATTACGTAAAAGATCACCCAGTACAGGGAGTGGAAAGCGATCTGGAATGGTTTTCGCGTTTAACTTCCAAAAGTCAATCACTGGGCGCCAAGTACCATCCTTCTTAGGTACTAGTATCAAGGGTGCATTCCAAGGGGAATTGCTAGGTGCAATAACTCCATCATCAAGCATTTGATTGATCAATTCTTCTGCGACAGCAACTTGTGAATGAGGCATTCTGTACGCAGGTATGTAGATAGGTCTAGTACCAGGTTCAAGTGGAATACGATGGGACAATAAGTTCGTTATACCCATCTTCTCACCTGGTAAAGCAATGGCTTTACGACGTTTGTTCAACTACCCCTGCAATAACCACTTGCCACTACCACCTGCACTAATCTCCTGCCTCTACCACCTGGACTTACCATTTACCACTACCTCCTGCACTAGCCACCTGCCAATACCACCTGCACTAACCACCTGCCACTACCCCCTGCACTAGCCACCTACCACTACCATTTGAACTAATCAACTACCACTACCACCAGGTCTTACCACCTACCACTACCCCTGCACCAACCACCTGCCAATACCCCCTGCACTAACCATCTGCCACTACCCCCTGCACTAACCACCTAACACTACCCCCTGCACTAACTTCCTGCCACTACCTCCTGCACTAGCCACCTACCACTACCATCTGAACTAATCACCTACCACTACAACCAGGACTTACCACCTATCACTACCCCCTGCACCAACCACCTGCCACTACTCCCTGCACTAACCATCTACCAGTATCCACTGCACTAACTACCTGCCACTACCCCCTGCACTAACCATCTACCACTACCTCCTGCACTAACCACCTGCCAATACCACCTGCACTAACCCTTACCACTCCCACCTGCACTATAACCATTTACCACTAACCTCTGCTCTAACCACCTGGTACTACCCTTACACTAATCACCTGTCACTACCCCCTGCACTACCCACCTGCTACTACCCCTTGCACTAACCACCTGCCACTACCACCTGCACTAGCCACCTACCAATACCATCTGCACTAATCACCTTCCACTACCACCTGGACTTACCACCTACCACTACCCACTGCACCAACCACCTGCCAATACCACCTGCACTAACCACCTGCCATTAATCCATGCACTAACCATCTACCAATACCCATGCACTAACCACCTGCCACTACCCCTTGCACTTACCATCTACCACTACCCTCTGCACTAACCACCTGCCAATACCACCTGCACTAACCCCATACCACTACCCCTTGCACTAACCACCTGCCACTACACTCTGCACTAACCACCTACCACTAGCCCCTGCTCAACCACCTGCCACTACCCCTTGCACTAACCACCTGCCACTACCCCTGCACTAACCACCTGCCACTACCACCTGCACTAATCTCCTACCACTACCACCTGGACTTGCCATCTACCACTACCCCCTGCACTAACCACCTACCACAACTCCCTGCACTAACCAACTGCCACTACAACTTGCACTAACCACCTACCGCTACCCCCTGCTCTAACCACCTACCACTAAGCCCTGCTCTAACCACCTGCCACTACCCTTCCACTGACCACCTGCCACTACCCCTGCACTAACCACCGGCCACTACCCTCGGCACTACCCACCTCCCACTACCCCCTGCACTAACCACCTGCCACTACCCCCTGCACTAACCACCTGCCACTACCAACTGCACTAACTACCTACCACTACCCCTGCACTAACCACCTACCAGTATTACCTGCACTAACCACCTGCCACTACCCCATGCACTAACCATCTACCACTACCCCTGCACTAACCACTTGCCAATACCCCCTGCACTAACCCCCTACCACTACCCTCTGCACTAACCCCCTACCACTACCCTCTGCACTAAGCACCTGCTCCACTTACCCCCAGCATTGACCACCTACCACTACCCCCTGCGATTAACCCCTGACAATACACCCTTTCACTCGCACCTACCACTACAATATGAAAACATTAACGCCTCTACCACTACCACCTGGACTTACCCCTGCACCAACCAACCTACCACTATCCCCTGTACTAACCACCTGCACTACCACCTGCACAACACCTGCCACTGCCACATGCACTAATCTCCTACCTCATACCACCTGGATCTTAACCTTCCCTCTACCTCCGGGCTATCACCTGCCGTACGCCTTCTAATAACCATCAACCACTATCCCCTGCACTAACCACCTGCCTCTTCCTCCTGCACTAATCTCCTACACTACACCTGGACTTACCATCTACACATACCTCCTGCGATAACCACCTGCCACTACTCCCTGCACTAACCATCTACCAGTTAACCACTGCACTAACCACCACCCACTACCCCCTGCACTAATCCACCGGCCACTACCCCCGGCAATATCCACTAACACGACCCCCTGCCTAGCACCTACCAATACCCATCTGATAACTAATCACCTACCACTACAACCAGGACTTACCACCTATCACTACCCCCTGCACCAACCACATGCCACTACTCCCTGCACTAACCATCTACCAGTATCCACTGCACTAACTACCTGCCACTACCCCCCTGCACTACCCAATCTACTCCTACCTCCTGCACTAACCACCTGCCAGTTCCATCTGCACTAACCCCTACCACTCCTACCTGCACTAACCACTTACCACTACCCTCTGCTCTAACCACCTGGCACCCCCTTTTGCACTAACCACCTGTCACTACCCTTTGCACTACCCACCTGCTACTACCCCTTGCACTAACCACCTGCCACTACCACCTGCACTAGCCACCTACCAATACCATCTGCACTAATCACCTTACACTACCACCTGGACTTACCACCTACTACTACCCACTGCACCAACCACCTGCCAATACCACTTGCACTAACCACCTGCCACTACTCCATGCACTAACCATCTACCAATACCCCATGCACTAACCACCTGTCACTACCCCTGCACATACCATCTACCACTACCCCCTGCACTAACCACCTGCCAATACCACCTGCACTAACCCCATACCACTAGCCCCTGCTCTAACCACCTGCCACTACCCCTTGCACTAACCACCTGCGACTACCCCCTGCACTAACCACCTGCCACTACCACCTGCACTAACCACCTGCCACTACCACCTGCACTAACCACCTGCCACTACCACCTGCACTAACCACACCCACTACCCCTGCACTAACCACCTGCCACTTACCCCTGCACTAAGCTCCACCCACTACCCCCTGCACTAACCACCACCCACTACCCCTGCACTAAGCACCACCCACTACCCCTGCACTAACCACCACCCACTACCCCTGCACTAACACCTGCCACTACCCCTGCACTAACCACCTCCACTAACCACCTCCACTAAGCACCTCACTAACCACCTCCACTAACCACCTCACTAACCACCTCCACTAACCACCTCCACTAATTCACACTCCACTAACCACCTCCTAAACTTACACCTCCCTACTAACCACCTCACAACAACCACCTCCACTAACCATCCTCCACTAACCACCTCCATAACCCTCCACTAACCACCTCACTAACCACTCCTACCCCATAACCACCTCCACTAACACCCCTTCCACTAACCAACCTTCACTAACCTACCCTCCACTAACTCCCTGCACTAACCACCTCCACTAACCACCTCCACTAACCACCTCCACTAACCACCTCCACTAACCACCTCCACTAACCACCTCCACTAACCACCTTCACTAACCACCTTCACTAACCACCTCCACTAACTCCCTGCACTAACCACCTCCACTAACCACCTCCACTAACCACCTCCACTAACCACCTCCACTAACCACCTCCACTAACCACCTCCACTAACCACCTCCACTAACCACCTTCACTAACCACCTTCACTAACCACCTTTCCCCTAACTCCCTGCACTAACCACCTCCACTAACCACCCCCACTAACCACCTCACTAACCACCTCACTAACCACCTCCACTAACCACCTCCACTAACACCTCCACTAACACCTCCACTAACCACCTCCACTAACCACCTTCACTAACCACCTTCACTAACCACCTTCATAACCACCTCCACTAACCCCTGCACTAACCACCTATATAACCACCTCCACTAACCACCTCCACTAACCACCTCCACTAACCACCTCCACTAACCACCTCCACTAACCACCTCCACTAACCACCTCACTAACCACCTTCACTAACCACCTTCACTAACCACCTCCACTAACTCCTGCACTAACCACCTCCACTAACCCCCTCCACTAACCACCTCCACTAACCACCTCCACTAAACCACCTCCACTAACCACCTCCACTAACCACCTCCACTAACCACCTCCACTAACCACCTTCACTAAACCACCTCCACTAACTCCCTGCACTAACCACCTCCACTAACCACCTCCACTAACCACCTCCACTAACCACCTCATAACCACCTCACTAAAAACCTCCACTAACCACCTTTCCCACTAACCACCTCCACTAACTCCCTTCACTAACCACCTCCACTAACCACCTCCACTAACCACCTCCACTAACACCTCCACAAACCCACCTCCACTAACACCTTCACTAACCACCTTCACTAACCACCTCCACTAACTCCCTTCACTAACCACCTCCACTAACCACCTCCACTAACCACCTCCACTAACCACCTCCACTAACCACCTGCCGCACTTGCAGACTACCAGCCCGTGTTGCAGCAGTTAAGTTCAGACGTTGTAGAGGTCCGTTTCTCTACCTCGATCAACCAGGAATATAAAGTAAATATGGATGCCAGTGATGGAACATCCAGCACCACGATGGTGGAGTGTAGTTCGCCAGAAGAGAAGTGTAACGTGTTCTTCACCACCATAACATCCAAGACAGGCAACAGTGCAAGTGTGCAGCCAAGTAACAGTGGAGACAAGAATGTTGTGGCTGTTCAGTTTGACATGAACACTGATATCTGTGAGTTCTCTTTCTCTCTTCTTATAAACTTAGTCATTATTACTTTCTTAGCTCCATTTTATCATCTTTTTTTTTTAAATAAGTAGACCTTTAAATAATGGAACTTCACTCATAGACAATTTTATTATTATTAATAGTAGTAATCATAGGAAAGCTGTAAACCTGTGAGAATCTAAGGAATGGGAGGTAACAAGTTTCGATCCAAGGTGAGGGAAGATATAACTAAAGTTATACCTGGAGTATACCTGGAGCATATTCCGTGGGTCAGCGCCCCCGCGGTGCTTATAACCAACAAAACTTTTAGAAAGTAATTTTTGTTAATTTTGAGCTCATAAAGAAAGCTGAGGTTAGGGCATTGGCTTAAGCCGGTAGGAGACTTGGACCTGCCTCGCATGGGCCAGTAGGCCTGCTGCAGTGTTCCTTCTTTCTTATGTTCTTTCTTAAGTAGATATATTTAGATATTTGTGAGCAGATATGGCGGCAGATGGTTCTGTGAAAGATGAGTGATACCAAGACTTGTACATGGGTGTAACGCGTGAGCTCTGAACGTTGCAGCGAGGAGGAGGCTGGAGGCCGTGTAGGTGTCATGGTTGAGAGCAGAGTGTATGCGTACTCACCTATTTGTGGTTGCAGGGGTCGATTCATAGCTCCTGGCCCCGCCTCTTCGCTGATTGCTACTAGGTCCTCTCTCTCCCTGCCCCATGAGCTTTATCATACCTCACCTTAAAACTATGTATGGTTCCCGCCTCCACTACGTCACTTTCTAGGCTATTCCACGGCCTGACTACTCTATGGACTGAAGAATACTTCCTAACATCCCTTTGATTCATCTGAGTCTTCAACTTCCAATTGTGACCTCTTGTGTCTGTGTCCCTTCTCTGGAACATCCCGTCTTTGCCCACCTTGTCTATTCCGTGCAGTATTTTATATGTCGTTATCATGTCTCCCCTGACCCTCCTGTCCTCCAGTGTCGTCAGGCCGATTTCCCTCAACCTTTCTTCGTAGGACAATCCCCGTAGCTCTGGGACTAGTCTTGTTGCAAACCTTTGCACTTTCTCTAGTTTCTTGACGTGCTTGACTAGGTGTGGATTCCAAACTGGTGCTGCATACTCCAGTATGTGCCTGACGTAAATGGTATACAGAGTCTTGAACGAATCCTTACTGAGGTATCGGAACGCTATCCGTATGTTTGCCAGGCGCCCGTATGCTGCAGCAGTTATCTGATTGATGTGCGCCTCAGGAGATATGCTCGGTGTTGTATTCACCCCCAGATCTTTTTCCTTGAGTGAGGTTTGCAGTCTTTGGCCATCTGAACTATATTGTGTCTGCGGTCTTCTTTGCCCTTCCCCAATCTTCATGACTTTGCATTTGGCAGGGTTAAACTCAAGGAGCCAGTTGCTGGACCAGGCTTGTAGCCTGTCCAGGTCTCTTTGTAGTCCTGCTTGATCCTCATCCGACTTGATTCTTCTCATTAACTTCACATCATCTGCAAACAAGGACACTTCTGAGTCTATTCCTTCCGTTATGTCGTTCACATATACCAAGAACAGCACAGGTCCTAGGACTGACCCCTGTGGAACCCCGCTTGTCACAGGCGCCCACTCTGACACCTTGTCACGTACCACGACTCGTTGGTGCCTCCCTGTCAGTTATTCCCTGATCCATTGCAGTGCCTTTCCTGTTATGTGTGCCTCATCCTCTAGCTTTTGCAGTAACCTCTTGTGAGGAACTGTGTCGAAGGCCTTCTTGCAGTCCAAAAGAATGCAGTCGATCCACCCCTCTCTCTCTTGTCTTATTTCTGTCACCTTGTCATAAAACTCTAGTAGGTTTGTGACAGGATTTTCCTTCCCTGAAACCGTGCTGGTTGTCAATTATACACTTGTTTCTTTCCAGGTGCTCCACCACTCTCCTCCTGATGATCTTCTCCATGACCTTGCATACTATACACGTTAGTGATACAGGTCTGTAGTTTAGTGCCTCATGTCTGTCTCCCTTTTTAAAAACTGGGACTACATTTGTCATCTTCCATACCTCAGGGAGTTGCCCAGTTTCAAATGATGTGTTGAAGATCTTTGTTAATGGCACACACAATATCTCTGCTCCCTCTTTAAGGACCCATGGAGAAATGTTGTCTGGTCCCACCGCCTTTGAGGTTTCAAGTTTGCATAGCAGCTTCTTCACCTCCTCCTTGGTTATATGTACCTCATCCAGCACTTGCTGGTGTACCCCCCTGTTCTGATTTCCTGGAGTCCTACTGGTTTTCACTGTAAATACTTCTTTAAATCTCGTGTTGAGCTCCTGACATACCTCTCGGTCGTTTCTTGTGAATTCCCCATCACCCTTCCTCAGTCTGAATACCTGGTCCTTGACTGTTGTTTTCCTCCTGATGTGGCTGTAAAACAGCTTCGGGTCAGTCTTGACTTTCGATGCTATGTCATTTTCATATTGTCGCTGAGCCTCCCTTCTTATCTGTGCATATTCGTTTCTGGCTCTTCGGCTAATCTCTTTATTCTCCTGAGTTCTCTGTCTTCTGTACCTTTTCCATTCTCTAGTACACCTAGTTTTTGCCTCCCTACACCTTTGGGTGAACCAAGGACTCGTTCTGTTCTTCCCATTATTTCTGTTTCCCTTGGGAACAAGCCTCTCCTCCGCCTCCTTGCATTTTGTTGCCACATAGTCCATCATTTCTTGTACTGGTTTTCCTGTCGGCTCCCTCTCCCACTGAATGTCTTGAAGGAAGTTCCTTATGCCTGAGTAGTTCCCCCTTTTGTAGTTTGGTTTTTCCCACCCTTTTCCTGCTACTCTCTCCACTTGAAGCTCAACTATGTAGTCGAAGCACAGAACCACATGATCACTAGCTCCCAGGGGCCTTTCGTACATGATATCCTCGATGTCCGAACTACTCAAGGTGAATACAAGGTCCAGTCTTGCTGGTTCATCCTCTCCTCTCTCTTTGGTAGTGTCCCCTAACATGTTATGCATGAGGTTTTCCAGTACCACATCCAACATCATGGCTCTCCATGTTTTGGGACCCCCATGGGGCTCCAGGTTTTCCTAGTCAATCTCCTTGTGATTGAAATCACCCATAACTAGTAACTTTGCTCCCCCATGTGTGCTCTCCTGGCCACCTCGGCTAATGTGTCGACCATTGCTCTTTTGGGCTCTCATCGTATTCTTCTCTTGGCCTCCTGCAGTTCTGTGGTGGGTTGTACATTATTGCAGTTATCACCTTACGTCCCTCAGACTGGATTGTTCCTACTAAGTAGTCCCTTTCGCCCGTGCCATCCATTCCATTCATTTTCTCAAAACCCCTCTGTCTTTCCTGAGGATTTGATATCCGGATGGAAAGATTGAATTTGTTTTTAAACTCTGCTGAGTTTTGTTTTGTGAGTGCTATTATGTCTGGGGATGTCTCCTTGATTCTTTCGTGCCACTCTTCATACTTATTTGTTATTCCATCTGCATTTGTATTCCACACCTTCAACTTCTTTTCAAAGGGACCGTGGTCTGGGAGGGTGTTGGGGTTGGGGGGAAAGTGGGAGACCTGATAAGGAAACTGTGGGTGGTTGCTGTGGGGGGTGGGGTTTGAAATGCAGTGGGGGGGGGGCATTGGATGTGTCATGGGTGTTTTGGGTTTGAGGTGGTTTGTTGCACTTTGGGGGTTGACCTGGTTGGGGAGGCTTCTATAGGAAGTTGTGAGGGAGGCGTATTTGATTTTCTTCCCGTGTCTGGGATCCTGTCTGTCTTCTCCATCCCTCTCTTTCCTCCTTTCGCCTTTGTACCATCTCTCTCAGTTTTTTGCCTTTCTTCTTTTGTTCTGTCACGGTCGAGATACACCTTCCTGTATGCCGCATGTCCCCTTAACCGTTGCTTTCTCCGGCAGGATCCTGTTCGAGTCAGTTCTGCCTTGAAGGTCACTTTCACTGGCCGGGTTCTTTGTTTACAAACTCCCCTATTTCTCCGAAAATTTTCCAGTTTGGGGCATGTCGTCTTCTCCTAAATTTCTTTCATGATGCTTTCAATTGTTTTTTTACCCTTGTTTTCTTGCTTCATATGTTTCCCTTCAACTTCCCGGAGCCCATACACAAAAGACTGACCTCCCCCCTTTCATTCTCCCACGCATATCCCTGTGTTCCCCTCATTCAATTGATTTCCTCCATTGCAGCTTTCCTTTTTTCAGTTTCACTAGCTAATGTGCTTGGGCTCAGGGCCTGTCATTTTCCATTCTCCGGCTTTCCCTGGGCTCTGCTTTTGGTCTGTTAGGGCCTCCACATATAGACTTAGCTCTTTCATTTACTACAGTCTCCATTTGATAGAGCTTCTACATGCAGTTTTTGTTTCCTTCTTTCCCTACAGTCCCCTGATTTGTGTGTGGGGTGTTGTGTGTGTGTGTGTGTGTGTGTACTCATCTGTTTGTGGTTACAGGTGTCCTGACAACTCTATGACTAAAGAAATACTTCCTAACATCCCTTTGACTCATCTAAGTCTTTAATATCCAATTGTGAACCCTTGTTTCTGTGTCCCATGTCATCTGGAACATCCTGTCTCCGTCCACCTTGTCAATTCCTCGCCGTATTTTGTATGTCGTTATCATGTCTCCCATAACCCTCCTGGTCCTCCAGTGTCGTCAGGCCGATTTCCCTTAATCTTTCTTCGTAGAACATTCCCCTTAGCTCTGGAACTAGCCTTGTTACAAACCTTTGCATTTTCTCTAATTTCTTGACGTGCTTAACCAGGTGTGGGCTCCAAACTGGTGCCTCATACTCCAGTATGGGCCTGACTTACACGGCGTTGAAAGTGTTGTGTGTGTGTTAGTTACCATTCTGCCCTAGGCACATGTCGATTAGAAACTAGGCCTGTTGTATATGAGTGTGTGTGTGTGCGTGTGTGTGTGTGTGTGTGTGTGTGTGTGTGTGTGTGTGTGTGTGTGTGTGTGCGCGCGTGTGTGTTGTGTGTGTGTGTGTTTTGTGTGTGTGTGTGTGTACTCACCTATTTGGGGG